TACCCAGAAGACATGAGGAACTCTTACAGTTCAATAAGGAGAAGACCCCAAAAACCATTTTTAAGGGGTAAAAGGGGCAAATTATGATTTTTAAAGGACGTTGCAAAAAATACCCAACAGTAAGCACATGATGATGGTGAACATCACCCAGGACTCCAATAAATACAAGAAAAGATGTTCCTTTCTTGCTCAACTTGATGAGTCAGCAGAGAGATGAAAACAGAAACCACACTGAGATACCACTACAACTCCACTTGAAAGGCTAAAATTAAGACTGGCAGGTGTTGACAAGGATGTAGAACTGGAACTCTCATACATCACTGGTGGAATTGCAAAATGGTAATTCGGCATTACAGTTTGGCGGTTCCCATAAAGTCAAACAGCCACGTCCACCTCCTCACACACCATTCACGACCAGCTAGGGCATTAGCAAGAACTCTCCATGGCTAGGACAATCAAAAGAAGAAAAAGAACAGCACCTCTCTGCCACTAGGCTCAGTTCTAGAGCCTGCTCAACTCTCTCCCCAATACAATAATTCACATACCAAGACCAAAATAGAGAAGGGAACATCTCAATTATTTCTCTCAGCCCCATCTTTTAAAAATCTCTCTCTCTATGAAATGCTGATAAAAGATATGAGGCCCAACTCAGGCATTCATTTCCTGGGAATCTGCCAGGATGCCGTTCTGAGAATTAATCCATGAGATCTAATGTAACCATAATTAACAACCTTAGGCATCCACATATACTTATCGTTGAAAGAAATGCACACACACAAATGGATGTGATCCAGGTTTAACATGTGGCCCAAATTAGACATATAAGCATTGTTCCTTTGGAAAAATTACAGGGGAAAAAAAAATCTCCTTAGAGACAGTAAGTAAACCAACCTCAACTCCCAGCTGGCTTCATTATTCTCTTGTCCTCAACAGAGTAAAAACTTTCTAGCATTTATACCTAAACAATTTGGGGAAAACTTGTTCTGTATAAATTTTAAAGTTCTTAACTACCTAAATCTAGCCATCCCAATGCATTATTTTATCATTAATGCACACTGTTAAGATCTCACCCATTAAGCATCTTAACACCTAACTAAAGGGTGGAAACTTGCGTATTACGTATATAATATGACATTTTACAAAGTTTAAAGCATATGGTAATAAGTAAAGCTACTGACAAGCTGAGGTCACTTTAGACACTGTTGCTGGTTTTGTATGGCCTGGCCTCTGCTCCTCTCCTCCTGAATGCCCTCTCTTCTTGCTCTATTGTTCCTGCCCCCACTGGCCTTCAGACACTCCTTCCTGCCCCAAGTCTTCTCCACAGGCCAGTCCCACAGCCTATCACACTAGCCTCAGGAAACACATTTTCTACTAACTTTGTACTAGCATATCACCTCCCAAGAAATACCTACGTAAGAATCATTAACTTCTAACTCAGCACAGGGATCACCTGGCACAGTAATCCACTTGACAGTTAACACTTTGCTGAGTCTCTCCAAAAACCAAGCACTTATTTAAAGCACTGCTTCAAGCCAGATACACTTTGGGAAACTTGCCTTTGTCGTGCCTGACTGTTCAATGCACAACTCATAGAGGGCAGGCCCCTCCACATGCGTGGACACAGTGAAAGCTGCTGCTGAAACGGTGCCGCCTCCTTCATCCCTCCCAATTACTAACTGCACCAGGAACTACACCCCATCCCAGGAGTGCTCAGAGCCAAAGGTCACCTTGACGCTTTGCCCCCACAAGGTGCCTGGCAGGCACCCCTGAAGCAGGCCCGGATGTCCCTCTTGTTGGTCTAAGCGACTGCAGAAGAAAAATATTCTCTCTAGATTCTAGAGAGCTGGGCTTGGGAGGAGAGGTTGTTTTCCAGGAAATCCAACTCCATCTTTTAGAGACAATGAGAATTTACGGCTAGAATTCTGTTAAAGCCATATGGTGTCTGGGCGCTCCAAAACCTTTGCAAGGATAATGACTTTCTGGGGACCATACAACAATGAACAAGAATACTATCAATGGAAAAACGCATTCCACGTTTGAAACGATCAATATACAAACATTTGGAATGTGATCCTTCTGTACATTTGGGACTGCCTCCATGTGACCAAGCAGCAAAAACAAATGGGGACATTTGTAGGACTCGACTTTTCATGCTTACACTGGAGACCTGGCAGAATTATTCACACTTCAGCAAACTGATGCCCAGGAACAAAACTAAAACGTAGCTTAACACATCACACTTTGGTGACACGTCGTAGAATTTTTTGTATCAAATTAAACAAGAAAATCGACTTACTTTCCTATTCCTCAACTACATGCTACATTTAAGGAAATTTTAGCCAATTTTATCTCATAAAAGTACAGAGGACTGACACCTCCCCTGTCCCAAGAAAAAAAAGTTTTCAAAAAGTATTTAAGGAGAGGTATCAATTTAAAACAGGAATATAAACCAGACATAGTGGCTCACGCCTGTAATCCCAACACTTTGGGAGGCTGAGACAGGAAGATTGCTTGAGGACAGGAGTTCGAGGCCAGCCTGGGCAACACAGCAAGACCTCACCTCTATTAAAAATTTAAAAAATAATAATAATAAGCCAAGCGGGGTGGCGTGCACCTGTAATCCCAGCTACACAGAAGACTGAGGCGGAAGGACTGCCTGAGCCCAGGAGTTCACGACTGCAGTGAGCTATGACTGCACCACTGCACTCACGCCCGGTCAACGCCGTGAGACCCTGCTTCAAAAAATTATAAAACAGGCACAGATAGGAAGTTCACTTTGCACACGCTGGGTTTAAAGTAGAGACTGCAAGTGGCTATGGAGAAGTCTGCATGTGCAACTACAGGGAAGTAACAGAGAAAGAGGTGGGTGAAAATCCACCTCTGAAATGACTGGCAGGTTTGTTGTCCTAAGAAAATCTAGCAGAAAAATTACACACAACTTTGAAGGTATTCTAAGACTCCAAAGGGCACATCTTCTTATATTCACAATGCATATCAACCTCAGAAACCTCTTCGGCATTTGCTAAGTATGCCCACATGCGACAGTGGCGAGAAAAACGTCAAGATACAAAGGCCATTCCTACTGGACCAACAGGCCGTGTTCCACCTGGACACGAGGTTCGTGAACACAGGATCAAGACACTGCCATGACTAAACTAATGCAAAAGTAAGGGCCCCATTAATTCGCCAAAGTATCATCAGTCTGACCTTGAAGCCAACCTTAATCTTAACTGTGAAGAAACAAATTTCAATTTGTTAACAGGACCAAGACTTCAACCTCACTAAGCCAGCTGGGTTAATTTCTTATTGTATTTATTTCTTTATTTTTAATACAGGGCCTTGCTCTGTCGCCCAGACTAGAGTGCAACTCGACTCGATCACAACTCACTGCAGCCTCGACCTCCGAGGCTAACGCTATCCTACCACCACAGTCTCCCTTAGCTGGGAGTACAGGAGTGTGCCACCGCGCCCGGCCCTCATTTTCATATTTTTTGTAGAGACGGGGTTTCGCCATGTTGCCCAGGTTGGCCTCCAACTCCTGGACTCAAGTGACCCGCCCACCTCGGCCTTCCAAAGTGCTGGATTCCAGGCGTGAGCCACCACGCCCAGGCGAGTTAATTTCTTATTTTTGGTCATAGAAGCCAGTATTCCAAAATGCCTTCCTCCAAATGTTGGTCTCAGCCTGAGCTGGTTTAAGTTGCCACCATTTCTCTGTATCACGCTAGTTACTGGAGTAACTGTGTATCTTAGGGTAGCTAACTGGTCTATAAACTACACTGTCACAAACTCTCCCTCCATCCACCCTTCCCCTTCCAAAAAAGGGAGAATAAAAAATATGGGCCTTTCCAAAGAGTTTCTATTGTGAGATCAGCCTCACCCTCCTTAGAATAATTTCTGCATGTTCTGAACACAGGGGTGCTAATAAAACTATCTCTGATGCAAAGGAAAAATAAGAACCCCCATAAACCCTACCACAAACTCCAAGTTCAGCCCAAAGTACGCTCAACTTTGTTTCATTCTGAAAAGCAACTTGTTATTGCCAAGGGAGAAACTTGTCTGTTCAGAACTTTTCATCTTGTTTCCTTTCTACCAAAGTCTAAAAAAAGTAAATAAAGGCTGAATTTTCCATCATCCTAAACATTCCAGAAAAGAATGGTCAGAAAATTCATGGAATTCGAAGTTCCCCTGGTTCTGGACTGCTGGCAGCTGCGGGACATGCACAGCCCTAGAGGGGACTGATGCGTTATACAATCATGGTTCCCAGAGCAAGATCCACTAGAATAATCCGCCCCGAAGACAATGACATCATGTGAGCAACGAGGCAGGAAGTTGGGCTCAGAGAAGTGAAGGGTCAAGTCTTGAGAGCTCACACTGGAGGACACCCCCCTGCCCCCAATCTAAAGAAGACAAAAGTCACCGACTGCTAAAAAAACAAACCAAAAAAAACTACTTTAAAGAGAAAATGAGCCCACGGGGGGAAATCAATCAGCAAATGAAACCACAAACACTCAACTCCAGGACCATTCCTGCGGGCTCCGACGCCCCGGTGAGCCTCTCCACACCAAGGGGCCTCACGGTGCCCCGCTGGCGAAACTCTGATGCAAACGCGCAGCGGGAACAAAGCGAAGTGGAGTTCCTGCCTCCAACTTTCCCGGACACCCGGCCGCGCGAGGGCAGCCGCCGACCCCGAGGGCCGGGGGCAGCCCCTCTGCACAAAGCCGCCCCCGACTCAGTGACAGCCACAAGTGGCCGGCCGCGGGACTCCAGGAACGCCAGGACCGCGCGTGCCCCCGCGCCCCCCGCCACCCCCGCCCGCGCACGGGACCCGGTGGGGCTCCCGGACACCACGCAGGCAACTTTCCCTTGGGAACGGGGCGGACCTGGCGCGGACCGGAGGCGACTTGGAGACCCCAGGAGCTCCTCGAGCGCTCCCCGCCCCCCACGCCGGCCGTTCGCCCCGGGCACCGCGAGCGGAGCCTGCGTCCGGGTGGGCCACCCACCTGCACAGCTCGGGGAACGGGGCGGCCTCGGCCTGCGTGGCCCCCGGGGCCGCGACGAGCAGCAGCAGCTGCAGCAGGAGCAGAGAGCGCTGCGGGCGGCCGGCGGGCGCGGGCCCCAGGTGGGAGCTCCGGCCAGCGGCGGCCCCCATCGCGCCGGGCCCAGGCTGCACGGCGGGCGCCAGGTTGATGGCGCGCGACTGCTGGGGGCCGCGCCCGGGACAGGGTCGCGCCGCCAGGGCAAAGGCAGAGGTGGAGACGGAGCCGGAGCTGGAGCCCGAGGTGAGCGCAGCTCGACTGGGCTCGGCGACAGCGACAGCAGCAGCGGCGGCCCCGGAATCGCGTCACGTGACAGCCGCCCGGCACCGCCCCCCACCCCCGCCCCCCGCTCACGTGACTCCCTTGTTCAGGTGACCCCCGCCCGCCCGGGCTCCTCCCAGGCCCGGGTCACGTGAGCGCAGCACGCGCGGGACAGGAAGCGACGCGGGCGGGGCGCAGGCGCCAGGTGCCTCCCGGGGCCTGAGCTTCTCGGCGGGATGGGTGAGGCGCGGGTGCCTGGCCGGGCCTCAGTTTCCCCTCCCACCGCGCCCTGCTGGATCGTGGCGGGTGCTTCCCAGCTTACAGCAACTGTTCCCAACCTCGACCGACGGGTAGGGGAAAATAGGGAACTTGGATCAAAGTGCCATGGAGGTAAATGCCTTCGCACAGTCTCGTGGCAGCGGATCCGTGGGGGGTGGGAACACACTTTAACTGGCCATCGAGTCACATCATGGGGGTTTACAACCTTGGCCCATCAGAGCCTCTCAGACCTTCTGTGGGAATGTTATTTCCCAAGCGTGGGCTTCCTACAGCAAGGAAGGCAGCACAAATACAGCAAGGTGAAAGAGTGGACAAAAGTGTCACTGTCAAGCAAGTGCCACTCAACGAAGCTTTATTAATTCACTATGTGGATGGCCATGAGCAAGCCACAATGAAAGTAGTACGATGAATCTAAAAGTCTTGAATTTAAAAAATTCACTTTCTTTCAGAGCAAAGATACAAAATAATGATTGAGAAGAGTAATCATCATCATCATAAAAGCTCATCTTTTTTAGTGCTTATTCCATACCAGACATTGCTAAGCATGTAAACATGAATCTTTAAAAACCTATGAGATGGGAACCTTCTTATAGATGAGGAATTGAGGCACAAGGATATTGAGTAACTCACTCAAAGACACTCTGGGATGTGGTAAAGCTGGAATTCAAACACATATAAATAATCATGACCCAATAATAGCTAACATTTCTTGAGCAAGTAATTATGTACCCATTACTGAAGTGTTCTGACACTGTAATTTAGCTCATTTAATCCTAACAGTCCTCTGAGAGGGGTGCCTTTATTGCACCCGTTTTGCCGATAGGGAAAGTGAGGAATGAAGAAATTAAATAACTAGTAAGTCTTGCAGGTAGTAAGTGAAAAAGCCAGGGTTTGAACCCAAGTCGGTCACAGGCCTGTGACCTAACCGCTGTGCTATTCATCTATTGCCCAAGAAAGGGAAGTGTTGTAGTGATTCAAAGGGAGAGGTCAGGTGTGAACTGTGGACGTCGAAAAAGGGTTTGTGGTGGCCGGGCGCAGTGGCTCATGCCTGTAATCCCAGCACTTTTGGGAGGCCGAGGTGGGAGGATCACAAGGTCAGGAGATCGAGACCATACTGGCTAACCTGGTGAAATCCCATCTCTACTAAAAATACAAAAAATTAGCCGAGCATGGTGGCACGCGCCTATAGTCCCAGCTACACGGGAGGCAGGAGAATTGCTTGAACCCGGGAGGCAGAGGTTGTAGTGAGCTGAGATAGTGCCACTGCACTCCAGCCTGGGAAACAGAGCGAGACTCCGTCTCAAAAAAAAAAAAAAAAGAAAACGAAAAAGGTTTGCGTTTTGCAACTCCAGTGTTATAATGGATACAGGCAAGGACCATCAGTAAATACTAAAACCATCTGGTGAAAAATTATTGTGAAACAGAATATTCTCTTTGTCTCAAAGTATCACCTTCAAAGTATATTTCCTTAAAAAGGACAAAATACATCTTCACAATGGAAAGATCTGTTAGAACCACCTTAATCAAATGATTAAAGCTAGTATCACCAATTTTTTAAAAACTAGCATTTTCTGCTTTCTAAAGTGATGCAATAAAAAATGCAAAAGGGTAATATTTAAAAGATGGTATAATCATAACTCAGATGTGGAATGAACATGTATCAAAGGTATTCCTTAGCTCATTCATTAATGTTAGAACCAGTAACATGTCACAGCTGGTTCAAAGGAATATCCAAAGAGAATCCAACAAATATTCAGGCAGTTAGGAATGCTGAAAGATTGCCTATAGTTGGAAAATTGGTCAGTAGCCATAGGTCAAAAAACAGCTGCATACCCAATGGACACAATTTGCATTTCTAAAGACAAAAATCATATATATTACCATCACTATTCTACAAGTTACAGAGTTGTAAAATACCTCAAAGACAATGGCAGGCACAAGACCCCATAGAATCAGATAACACGAAAGAGTGTACTAGACAACAACTAGCATTCCATTACAGTTGACCACTAATATTTTGGGTCCATTTCAAAGTCTTTCACAGTTATTCCCTACCATACACACTATCACAAGTAGTCTTGCCAAGTTTAACTTTAATTAAGACAAAACAATCAACTTCAAATTGTGAAACATATGACTAGAAAACTGAACTGGACTACTGCAAAATATTAATGCTCTGAAAAAAACTCTCTTCCAAAAAACAACAAAAAAAGTGGAAGTGCTATTCTAGATCCTTGTAGCAAGCATAACCTGTGGGTCAAATGTGGTAAGGCAGCCGTTTTGTAAATAAAGTTTTGTGGGAATACGGCCACACCCATGTGTTTATGTATTATCTATGGCTGCTTTTGCCTGCAATGACACAGTTGAGTAGTTGCAACAGAGACTGTGTGACCTGAAAATCCTAACGTATTTTGCCATATGACTCTCCGCAGAAAAAGCTTGCCAACCTCTCTTCTAGATCAGTGGTTTTCAAAAGTGTGGTCCTTAGACAAGCAACTTTTGTGTCACCTGCCAGCTTGTTAGAAATGCCAATTCATGGGTCCTGCCCCAACCTACTGAATCAAAATCTCTGGAGATGGGCCCCAGGATATTGCTCTACCAAGCTCTGCAGGAGATTCTCATACACATGGAAGTTTGAGAACCATTGTCCTAAATCAAAGGAGGCTAAAAAGGCATGATGAAATGCAATGCATGGTTCTTAATTGGAGCCTAGACTCAAAAATAGGAAGGTAAAAGGGACGTTTGGAGACCACTGGAAAATTTTTATGTAAATCGTATATAAGACACTTTAAAGCAGCAGTCCCCAACCTTTTGGCACCAGGCACTGGTTTCATGGAAGACAATTTTTCCACGGATGGCGGAGGGGGGTTGTAGGGGATGGTTTCATCAGGCATCACAAGGATGGTGCACCCCAGACCCCTCACATGCATAGTAGGGTTTGCACTCCTATAAGAATCGAACACCACCACTTATCTGACAGGAGGCAGAGCTCAGCGGTAATGCCCTCATTCTCCTGCTGTGCGGCCAGGTTCCTAACATGCCACGGACCAGTGCCAGTCCAAGGCCCGGAGGGTTGGGGGACTCCTGTTCTAAAGTCAAATACTATAGGGCATAATTCTCCTTTATTTCATTTAAATTTTCCGAAAAACCTTTGAGGAAGTAGAGACTCGCAGATGTCAGCCTAAGACCCCCTGTTATAGGCTGAATTGTTTCCCCTAAAAGGATACGTTGAACTCATAACCCCCAGTACTTCAAGTGTGACTTTATTTGAAAATAGGGTCATTCCTTATACATAAATTATGATGAGGTTACACTAGAGTAGGGTGGGTTCTGAATCCAGTATGACTGGCGTACTTACAAGAAGTGGGCAAGAGACACACAAGGAGAAGGCAGCCATATGAGAATGGGGGTGCCATGCATCTACAAGCCAAGGAACGCCAAGGATTGCCAGCAACACCAGAAGCTGGGACAAAGGCATGGAACAGATTCTCCCCTAGAGCCTTCAGAGGGAGTGTGACCCTGCCAATGCCTTGGTTTTGGACTTCCAGCCTCCAGAACTGTGTGAGACAATTTCTGTCATTTTAAGCCACCCAGAGGTACTTTGTTATGGCAGCCTATGAACACAAATAGCCAAGAATACAAATGTCCCTCAACTGATAGGACAGATCCAGGCTTGGCATCCAGGTGCTCCAACCGCCGCCCTGTTTTGATGACCCAGTCTTCCTGCACCTGACATTTGGCCTGACTTTTGGAAGCACAAGCTCAAATGACAGACCAAGGACAGAAATAGCAGCTACTGAGGATGTCCCCGCATGGTGTCAAGAGCAATAGCAGGGGCAGGTAACACTAATAGCTGCCCCTTTGGAACACAAACCATGAGCTGTCAAACTGATGGCATGCACGTATTGTTCTGAAACCCAAACAGAATCTCACCCCAAAGACCCAGGGACTTTTTAGAACACCCAGAAAGGAGCATGATTCTACCAAAAGACCCTCAAAACACATTGCGATTCATTGTAGGCTTTTCTTGATTCCTAAGATCATAAACTGCCAAGAAAAAATGTACAGTAGATAATATTGAATCAATGTTAAATTTCATGAGTAAGATAAAGCTACTGTGATTATATAGATGATGTGCTTGTTCTTATGTGATACATGCTGAAAGTGAAGTGTCATGATGTTGGCAACTTTCAAATGATTTGTGGGGAAGAAAAGAATATATGTATGGATGGCAGGCAGATGTTAAAAATATTAGCAATCACAAATGGAGATGAAGAGTATATCAGTGCTCTTGTACTATTCTTTTGACTTTTCTGTAGGTTTGACATTTTTCAGAATGAGAATTGGGAAAGAGATCTCATCATGAAAGAGATTGCTTTTGAGTGAATCTGGAAGAATAGGAGGAAATTTAGGGAAAAGATGTTGCAGGCAAAAAGAACAGCAAGTGCAAGGCCATGATAAAATACAGAAGCTGTATTTTCTGTACAAGGCCTTTTGCTTGAGCAAAAGTCACATGGGAATAAAGAAAAACTATTTTTGGCCAAAAACTGTGCTAGATCCTGGGCTTATAAAATATAATCCCTCCCTCAAGGAGCTCACAGTTTAGGACATAGTCAATTCATATATAAGTTTGAAATTTTTATTGTGCCCAGCTCCTAGAGGATCTTAAATGGTCATCTAATAAGCTTAGATTTGGCTGGATATGAAGTAGGGAACAATAACAGCAGATACAATAATACATACTGAAGGCTTACTCTGTCAA